TTGAGTTAATTTTTACATGGTGTATACTGAGAGTCCAACTTTATTGATCTGTATCTGGATATCCAGTTTACCCAGTATCATTTGTTGAAGAAACTGTTCTTTTGCCATTGTATAGTCTTGGCACCTTTGTGAAGAATCATTTGGCCATATATGCCTAATTGTAGGGATTTTAATACATTATATTTTAAACAATTTTGACTCAAACAGAAATAAAGGGAAACTAATCACATTCTAGCCTGAGGATTTTATTTCCATATAGCCATGTCACCCCATTAGAAGAGAATATTTTTCAAACGTGAGTAGTGACAGATAGAAGGAATACTTACTTGCTGAAAGTTTGGAGGTTAATTGACTAGTTATAATGATTTCAAGGGTCTAAGAAGAAAGGAGGAGGACCTGGAATAAGTCCGTGACATAAAGTTTAAAGCACGAGACAGAGGCAGAATGCAGAGGAAGACATGACTGAACTTGGCAACTGAAAAGATAAGGAGAGTTAGCACATAGGATTTCTAGTTGGATTTTTAGCTGGATGAATTCAAGGTTTTGTTTCCACAGTTTTAAATCCTTTTATGTTTAAGATACAAAGTCCTTAAAGAGCTATTTTTTTGATCCGTATTCCCAAGTCCCTAGAAGGACATCTCACTATCATTCAGAGTCTCATGTCTGCAAGGCTGGCTCTTTAATACTCAGTATGGTCTCTATTGTGAAATACTTAGCAATGTGACTCAAAGAACAAACCACAGTCATCTGTATCCAGGCAACAGCATTGATAAACACTGCAAATTTCTTTTCTACCTTATAGCTTGAGCTACATAATGTGGGCTAAAAATAATACTGTATTCTATTCAGTGTTTCTAGAAATTAACAACTATAAACATAGACACTCAAATATGTTCCTACCTTAAAAAAAGAAGGAAGCACAGCTACAGTATAGAATCACTGTCATCTGACATTTCTGACATTCTAGTTGTCATCTCAAATGTAAATAGTCTGCATTCTTTTTTTTTTTTTTTTTGCTTTTAGCATTCTAAAGATATTTGTACATGGTTGTTTGATTGTATTGTAAAAGACTTAAGTATAAATTGGGTCAACCAATAAACCGCAGGGCTACTGCCTGACAATTTAAATTAGCTCCTTTCACACTCCTTAGGATCTGCCTATCAGAGAGTTATCTGAGTTCCATAGACAACAGTAACCTAAGCCAATACCTTGGTCACAGTAATTATCTGTTTTTATTTATTTTCCTCTTGTCCAATTTATTTCAGGCCTGGTCTTATTTTTCCATTACAAGAGCCTGTGCACCCATGTGCAATTACCTGGTTTCTCTCTAGCACTTGAAACTAACTCTTGTTGCCATTTCAGGTAAACAGAAAACTCAAACTAAGCCTGCTCAGTAGATGTAATCAACTCAGTAGAACTAGTAGTTTCATGTAGGAACCACAAATGGAGATGTTTTTTTGATACACTGAGTTTTTAGGTGGGAAGACTGGTATTAAATAAATTCTGTTTGAACAAATAGGTGAATGACAATTGTAGTAGATATATGAATCAGTCAAATAATTTTTAGCATAATTGCAATTATGAATTTTGAGAGTTAGCCTTAAGTTTAAAATTACTAATTGTTGAAGTTTTATATTCCTGAGTCAAGTAAATAAAGTAGTTGAATTTTTGGGGGGATAATTTTGTGCATTTTTCTGAAAAGGAAAAGAGTTTGTTTTATAGTCATTATTACTCTATTTTACAAAAACAATAATGTGTCAATATGTTACTACAATAATTAGTCACACATGCCAGGAACTTAAAATGAGTGTCAAGAAAAGTCAGATAAAGTAGTGACTATCTGTTAAGAATGATTTAAGTGACATTAAAGGAAAAGCCTTCTTCTCCAAAGTAATCATGAAGTGAGGACTCAGCAAAATTGAGTTCCCCAATGACTGGACTGTAGTTGAGCACTTCAATGTAAAGTTTCAGCTAGAGTGATCTGAAATAGTGGTGCTGTTAAGGACATAACAGCTAAGTCAATTTAAAAAGAACTTTAAATGACTGCTTCACTAGATAGCAAGGTATAAAGAATGCTGCCAATGTACATCACTTGGGTAATTAGCAAACTGTATCTCTTTTGAGACAGCAATTTAACTTTCCTCATTTTGTGCCTTTAACTTAGCCACAGGATGTTATACCATCAGTAATCAAAAAATGTATGCAAGTATATATCTCTCTACCAGGTCTGAAGACATGTTATTTGCTTGGTCAGCGGCCTTAATAAAGACAGCTGCTATCAGTTTTTCATAAAATAAAACCCAATGTGGTCTTCTAAATTCACTCTAATGATCAGTTAGTTTCAGATAGATGATATGGATGGATGAATGGATAGATGGATAAATAGATAGACAGACAGACAGATAGATAGATAGAAAGATAGATAGATAGATAACATACACATGAAATACACTAGAATCAGAAGTAAGAGAAATTCAGTACTGAAGGGTAAAAATGGAGCTTGACTGAGTAATCTTGGACATTTTGAGGCTACAACACAATAACTTCTACCCAATGGTTTACTCCATTTTCTATGCTGTGGTTTAATAATGTCATTTTTGAACTGAATTTATTTTATTTAAAACTCTTTCTTGAATGTATTACAAGACTTCTTTAGACTATGTATAAAGTAGAAGTTACTCTTCAGAGGAACTTTTTTTTTTACAGCACTGTTATATAAACACAAAACTATTTGACTAAAGAGTGCATCTATAACTGGAATTATAGAGGGGATACAATTTAGTTAATGTGGAAATAATTGTCTTATTACCATGGTTCTCTACATGCTACACATTGGATGATGATTATTTTATGAGTAAGTCAATTCTGTATGGATGTAAAGATTCATTTGAAAGTAAGTGGAGTAATTTGAACGTAACTGCAATTATTTTTGCACCAACCTAATAACAAGAGTATTATGTTCTTATTCTTTCACTCACTCTCTCTCTTTCTCTCACACACACACACAGACACACACACATCCTTTTTCCTTCAAGAGTTTCTCTATCTAATGTACAGTAATCCTTCCGTAATATTGTTTTCAGAGTTCTTGCCAATAGTCTGTCTTTATAGACCAAAACATTTGTAAGAGAGTCTTTCAGAAATGTAGACTAATAATTCTGTCTTATACCAAAGTTGATGTGATAGCAAATAGAGTTAAAAGAGTTCCCTGCCATGCTTCTGTTTTGTATTTTATTGTCCTCTAATTTATATGCATATTGAGTATTTGCAAATACTTCTAAGAAGGCACCATAAAATTTTTTTAAATTATTATGCAAATTCAATAAAAGAGAATGGGTATGACCAGAAAAATTTGTTTATTTGAACTGTATTTTTACAATTTTAGTCTTAAGGAAAGTTAACATTTTAAGGATTCCACAAACACAGAGACACACACACACACAATGAGTTAGAGACTGCAGTTTTATTTCTTAGAATTTTTGATCTTGTAGGAAAAGAATAACTAAGCACTTTCATTTCTTCAAAGTTTTCAAAATTATTCAGGAGGATTTGTCTTCATCTATTCCTTTCTACAATGATCCTAAAGAATTTCTTATCCACATATTCAGTTTGATTATGGATTTATTTGCTAACCTGATAGGTAGTGTTATCATGGTTTTGTTTTCATAAATGTAATTGATGTCTTAGCTTATTTTACAAAAAGATATATTTCAAATTGAATAAAATAATTTTTATCACAAACATTGACCCATTATATTGAATTTCTATAATAAGCCTCCAATAACAGAATTAATTTTTTTAAATTGGTTCTATAAATTTGTTGAGATTGGAAATTATATACCTGAATATAATCAATTTATATCTAATAGGACTCTAAATATTTTCTACATAATATAAAATAGTCCATAAGATGGAGTATTTTATGAAACACTTTCTACATTTTCATTTATACTAAATGCAAAAATATATTAGCGAATAGATGTTTATTTTACAAGTTATAATAAACACACTATAAAAGCTATTAGGTCAGCTAAATGAGTGAATATGTTTAAGATATTGCTAAGTAATATGTTTGACTCTCCCTTCTACAACTTTCATAGGTAAAACAGTTACTCAGATCTTAATGCCACAATATTTTTTCTATCTGTCTTCTTTTTTTCAATTGCCTTTGCCATTCTGTCAGTTCAGATCCTTAAATTCTCTCCCCTGCCTCCATTTTCTCTCCCGCTCATTTTCAGATTCACCTCATTTTCCACTCATTTTCAGACTTACTACAAAGCAGAGCTTTGAGCATTCCAGAAATATATGTCTGAACTTTTCAAAAACCTTCAATTATTCTACACCATTTGCTAATTGAGTAGCTCCCCTCAGTTTGGCATTTAAAGTAGTCCTAACCGTGTCTTCAAGTCATCTCTGGCACAGTAATTCTTTCTTAATCATTGATCATCATTGATAAAAATGTACATAGTCATATACATGCAGAGTTCTATATAGTTTTATGGAGTTTACCAAATCTTTCTCTACAAGTCTTAGAGAAATACCCACCTGCTCTACACATTTCCATCCTGCTACTCTGCCACACATGCCTAACATTTCAACCACATTCGATGACAAGCAACTTGAGGACAGACATGGTGTTTTCTGCAAAATGCACATTTACATAAGCCCCATGATACTATCCAAATGTCTCCACTGAGTAACCTGGCCCCTGGAATGTCTTTCCTCAGGTTTTCAGAATGTTTGCATTCCCTTTATCTGTCCCTGTTACCTGTTACCTGGATAAGTTGGGAGGCATTTGGAGAAGATAAATGTCATTTTTCAGATTTCAGTCACTGCTATTCTTGCTAAAGTAAATTCTTTTATTATGGTGGGAAATAATCTTTACTAATGAACTTGGACTGTCCTTACCTTGATTAATATAGGCTTCATTTGTATTTAAATTTGATGTCTATTTGGTTCATGTCAGCTCAAAAGGTGTTTTTCAAATTTATATTTTTCAGGTTTCTTGAGTACAGGGGATCAGGCTGCAAAGGGGAACTATGGACTCCTTGATCTCATACAAGCTTTAAGATGGACTAGTGAAAACATTGGATTCTTTGGTGGTGACCCCTTAAGAATCACTGTTTTTGGATCTGGTGCTGGGGGTTCATGTGTCAATCTGCTGACTTTATCCCATTATTCTGAAGGTAACCGTTGGAGCAATTCAACCAAAGGTATTATGCAGGTTGCAAATTTTGACAATTTTGGTGTCTGCATGCCACCACCATCAATAGTATGTGATGCTCTGTATATTTCTCTGTTCAAACTGAGTGTTAGGTTGAACTCAATATCTGTTTAAAGCTTTGTTTCTTCAGCTTTTCTGTGCATGTTTAAATTTTCGTCAAACTCTTTTCTTTGTCTCCTGTGGAGCTTGGTAAGGATGCCCTTTCAAGCACACTTCAGAATAGTTAGCATTACAGTTACTCTTCTTTCCTTTAAAGGGTGATTTGAGGAAAAAATCAGACAAAAACATTCTACAGTTCTGTCATCTTTGTTTATTCAGTGATCAAAATCAAAGATGAGACTTTTTAAATGCAGGGATTGTATATCATCTATTTTCAAGACAATAGACATTTTAAACCCTTTATTAGTATGAAGCTAACGAAGCAGTCGTAAGCTAGTTTGTCTGAAAACATGTGATTTCGCTTGTTGTCTGAGTACAGAATGGACTGTTGATTATTTTGCATGCATGATCCAAAATTGTCAAAGCATCAAGGTCACTGGTAGAGCTTTTGATTAAAAAGAAAAATACATTTGATTCAGTGTTTTTTCTATTTTTAACTCCAAAAGCATTATTTTCCTCCCTAAACTTGGCAAGGCAGCATGGAGTACTGAGGCTGCTGAAATCCATGAAATATTTTTCTCATTTCCATCTTCTGGCTTTGACATATTTTTTCCAAAGTGCCTGTCCAAGGCTTACCATGTTGTTCTTTATGAATTCCATCTCCATTTTACCATGCATAGAATCACCCATTCCGACTGCATTATTAATTTGAAATTTCACAAGAACAGAAGAGTATTGCTGGAGAAATTTGCAAAGCAAATACTTTTTCTGCATTATTTATGTATAATAGAGAGGAAGACAGAGAATATATAAAAATGCAGACCATCTTTTAATTTCTGATGTTTTATTGTCGTTTTATATCCAAGAAGAAAGTATATACTGTCAAATGTAATTCATGAAGCATCTTAATTTGTAAGGTTGAGTTTTGTGATAGGAACACCAGACATATGATATTTGTTTTTGGTATCAAAAACACATGAGTGTTGAATTTCAAAGGAATAGCCAGTCCTTAAATGAATCTGTATATTTGGAGAATCATATATAGACTCAATTTATTAACACAGTTTATATAAGATTTCATTTATGTTAGTACAATTCTGATTCAAGATGACAAAATAACACAGATGAACATTTCCAATAGAGATTTCATCTGTAAAGAAATGGCTTCTTTTGAAATAATAAATTTAGTGGTTTTTAATTAAACAGATTAGATTGTTCTAACCTCAGTATTTTTCCTAATGCCACTATGTAGCTAGAGCAACACTAAGCCACCTATATACAGATTAGATTGTTCTAATCTCAGTATTTTTCCTAATGCCACTATGTGACTAAAGCAACACTAAGCCACCTATATAGGTTTCTCGGGGCCACTTGATCAAAATTTGACATGAAAGCCACCTTTAGCTAGTATAAAACTAGCACGGTTTAAGAGATGAGTCAGTTAGTTCATCAGCTAACACTGCTAGTCATCAGCTGATGGTGTAGTAAACAGTGGGAAATGGTTATGCAAACTGTTGAAAATACAACATTTTATTATACACTTCAGGGAAATCTGTCTATCTCTGGAAAAAGACATGAACTTAGGTTTGGCCTAAACCTATCTCCAGACTGAGCTGCCTGATTTTATCGGGAGATGCTCAAAAAAAATCTCTTGAAATCATCAAGCTGATTCTGCCTCCAATGTAGATGTAAACTTTAAAGGCAATAAACCCCACAAAGGGCTGCACCAATGCTCAGGCCTGGATATACCGTGAGTAAACCCCATCTTGCATCCACACAAGAGGCACTTTCACTAATGATAAAACATATGGTGTTCCCAATACCATCTAGGTGGTATATTTTAGGACATATTGAACATGATGTGCCTTTCCTTCTAAATCTCTTTCAGTATATTTAGTTAATGTTGAGTCCCTGAAATGGGAAATAATATTATAGAAATCACCAGATCTATTTTAGTTATATAATTTTTATTTATTAAAATATTTTCCTGAGCAACTGTTAATGAACAGCTACATAATTTTTAAAATTATCTGCATTTGTATCATTTGCTCTAGCATACTTTGTTCTAGTAAACTAAAAAATGTTTATAAAGATGTCAGAAAACCAAAATAAATGTATATTAATACTGTTAGATTTTTAAAATAGCTTTAGAATTGTATGGGAACATGTTACAGACATGTTGAATGTATAGGCATATTAGGTTAAAAATATCTAAAACTCTCCTTCTAATTCAGACAGTGCTTCAACACCTTTGTGAAAAGAGTTTTTATCTCATTAACACATATGAATAATATAATTAAGCATGTTTTTAAATAACTGAAGCACAAAGCTGTATTTGGAAATTGATAATAAATTTAAATATTTAAAAGCAAATAGATAAACTATATTTTTTAAAAAAGAATTTTATCAGAAAAATACCTTAATGAGAAGATAAAGTACATTTGTAAATTTTAATGCCATGCAGCACTTAACAAACTGCATATGGAACCATCATTTACAATTCTTAAATGCAATTAAGTAAAAAGCAGTGGACCATGTGCTTTTCATCTTTTATGATAAAAGTAGTAGTGTACATTCAACAGTGGCAAAAGTTAAATCACACCACACTAAATCTGTCTGCTGATGGTTTTTTCTTTAGCCTAGTGAAAACACTTCAAATGTTATGTCTTCTTCTGAAAGATGAATATTCAGCATACTATGTCTGACATGAAGATTGGAAAGAGTACGTCTAAAGTAATATTCTGTTTTGTGTGAATTCAGGGCCAACCCCAGGGTATAAACAAACAGCCAGCCCCAGTCATTGTGTGAGCCTTCAAGAATTCTTTTTTCAAATAACATCTGGTTAAAACAAATATATAGAACTATTTTGAAGGAAGATAGACACAGCCAAGCTAGAGGAAATATTCCAAACAGACAATGTAGAGTCTGTTGAGGACTTGAATAGGAGAAGATTGGCCCCATCTGGTTAATGTTGATGATAAGTATTTACACACTCATTGAAGAACATATTTGGGACTTTGTACCACTACATCTTCTCCTTTTCTTCTTGCCTGCTACCTCTTTGAGGCTTCTTGATCCCTAAAGCAGGTGCCACTCAAAGCAGAAGAATTAGATCCACCTCTCTAATCCACTATACCCTGCAGTTGGCTTTGTGTAATTCCCTTAAGCAAAAATCTCTCTATCTCCCTGTTTCTTGAGTTGTATCTGGGTTTTTATATACATGTCTAAAATATCAGATGTTACTGTTTTACCACAACATTACTCAAAGATCATCTAAAATTCTTTGTTGATTTTCCCATAGGACTTTTTCAACGAGCAATAGCTCAAAGTGGAACAGCCCTTTCCAGCTGGGCTGTTAGTTTTCAACCTGCAAAATATGCTAGAATGTTGGCCACAAAAGTTGGTTGCAATGTTTCAGATACAGTAGAGTTAGTGGAATGCCTACAGAAGAAGCCTTACAAAGAACTTGTTGACCAAGATATTCAACCAGCTCGATACCACATAGCCTTTGGACCTGTGATTGATGGTGATGTAATACCAGATGACCCTCAGATATTGATGGAGCAAGGAGAGTTTCTCAACTACGATATAATGTTAGGAGTGAACCAAGGGGAAGGGTTAAAATTTGTTGAAAATATAGTAGATAGCGATGACGGTATATCAGCTAGTGATTTTGACTTCGCTGTTTCAAATTTTGTTGATAATTTATACGGATATCCTGAAGGCAAAGATGTTTTGAGAGAAACCATTAAGTTCATGTATACTGACTGGGCTGACCGTCATAACCCTGAAACCAGAAGAAAGACATTATTGGCTTTGTTTACGGACCATCAGTGGGTGGCACCAGCTGTAGCCACAGCAGATCTTCACTCAAACTTTGGTTCACCTACGTACTTCTATGCCTTTTACCATCATTGCCAAACAGATCAGGTTCCAGCTTGGGCTGATGCAGCCCACGGAGACGAGGTTCCCTATGTCCTGGGAATCCCCATGATTGGTCCTACAGAGTTATTTCCTTGCAATTTCTCCAAAAATGATGTGATGCTGAGTGCAGTTGTAATGACATACTGGACAAATTTTGCTAAAACTGGGTATGTACCTAAGGAATGAAGTTTATTTTTAATAAAAATATTATTTTAACCATTTTAAAATAATAGATATTTATGCCCAGATAATCTCATATTGGATTAATACCTGCAATATATTACAATCCTTCATTCAAAATTAATTCTACATTATGGTGTTTTTAAAAGTCATTGCTTTATTATTTCTGGTGTTTTAGAAGCTTGTTAAGAAAGTACATATCTCAGTTGCGTTACTTAATTACATATGCTTTTGGTTTTTGAATTATACAAGACTTACTATTGTTCAGCAGTACAAAATATTATTTTATAGTGCTTTGTAATTCACAACACTCTTTCATCCTTCCAACTACCTTTCTGAATCTGGCAGATCAGGTACTATTAATCCCACTTTACGAAAAAGAGACCTGAGGTTCTGGGAGTGTCATAGAGATGGTCACATGTCTGGTATATAGCAGAACCTAGTCTCAACCCTTTATCTACTAATTTAAAATCAAAACTCCTTTCCACTATTCCGTGTCATCTCTGCTAGTTTGCCTATGAGACAACTCATACGTATGTGAGTATTTAAATAATTCTTTAAAATCTTTGGGTAGATAGTAGCCCATCTCAGGATAGGCAGAGAGAACAAGAATGTGAGACTTATTGCCTTACATTATTACTCATCGAACAATCTGCCTGCTAGGAGATTTATATTTCTAAATTGACCCAAGTTAATTCAAAAAACAATCTAAAGCATTGCTGAGTCATCTCTTTAATTATTATATGTTAAAGTAGTGTGATTTTAAGTAAAAAACAAAATAACTTTATCTTTTCCTTTTTAGTGACCCAAATCAACCAGTCCCTCAAGACACGAAATTCATTCATACCAAACCCAACCGTTTTGAAGAAGTAGCATGGACCAGATATTCCCAGAAAGACCAACTTTATCTCCATATTGGATTAAAACCAAGAGTTAAAGAACATTACAGAGCCAATAAGGTGAACCTCTGGTTGGAGTTGGTACCTCATCTGCATAATCTCAATGACATTTCTCAGTATACCTCTACAACAACTAAAGTGCCATCAACTGACATCACTTTCAGACCTACGAGAAAAAATTCTGTACCTGTCACGTCAGCCTTTCCCACTGCCAAGCAGGATGATCCCAAACAACAACCAAGTCCATTTTCAGTGGATCAAAGGGACTACTCAACAGAGCTGAGTGTCACTATTGCAGTTGGAGCATCACTGCTGTTTCTGAACATCTTGGCCTTTGCAGCCCTGTACTACAAAAAGGATAAGAGGAGACATGATGTTCATAGGAGATGCAGCCCTCAGCGCACTACTACCAATGATCTAACCCATGCACAAGAAGAAGAAATCATGTCCCTCCAAATGAAGCACACTGATTTGGATCATGAATGTGAGTCCATCCATCCACATGAGGTGGTTCTTCGGACCGCCTGTCCCCCAGATTACACACTAGCTATGAGGAGGTCACCTGATGATGTTCCCTTAATGACACCCAACACCATTACAATGATTCCCAACACCATACCAGGGATTCAGCCCTTACACACATTCAACACATTTACTGGAGGACAGAACAATACTCTGCCCCATCCCCATCCCCACCCCCATTCACATTCAACAACCAGGGTATAGCCAGATAACAGAAACAAACTATTTTTTTGGTGGATTGCAGTAAACGATTACTGAAGATTCCTTGGCTTTCAACCTACAAGACTTACTATTTAAATAAGGAGGAATGTTATGTGAATATACATATCAAGAACTTTGGGGGTTTTGAAAAAAATGAATTGTGTATATACAAATCAACTTTAAAAACAAATTTCAATTGCTTGAAGCAATTGTGCCGAATGATACTTTTTCATTCACATTCAAGAATTAATTTTTTGAAGATTTAAGTTACATAATGGAATTAGGCATGTGGAACACCAAACAGGAAAGAACTATGTCTGAAATATAAAAAATAAAAATAAAAAAACTATGAATATGCACAAGGGACACACCAATGGAATGTCAGATAATTTTCACCAGTTTTTATTTGGAGCCGTTTTATTGTGTAGACCATATTTACATATTTGGATAAGTACACAAAGCGTCAATGCTGTTAATGGCCTTAGCAAAGGCTCATGCTGAAATTTGCCAGTAAAACAAAGAAGTTTAAAGACTGGCAGGTACAACATTATCACATAAGTGCTGTCAGTATAAAGTTGTGGGGATAAAGGAAACTGGATATTTTTAGCACGATGTGCATGATAATTTATATGCTTGGTGGCTGTGCTGCTGATTAAGCCGTAATTAAAATTCTTCTGATCCCATTGGAGTTTTTAATAGAAGCTTCCTCCATCAATTGGCAGAACCTAAAGATTTTAAGGGGCAAAAGTAATTACAATAAAATAATTCACAGTAGTTTCAATATAGAAGGAATTAGTTATTAAAGGTATTTGAAGAAACTATAGGTATAGTGGTGAATACTCGCTGATATGAATCCCAGAAAAAAAATTCCCTGTTCTCAATGTTCTTTTCATTCTCATCTAGATAATTTATAGAACTATAACCCTAATTGGACATGTGGTACAGGATCTATAAGTTGCTGTGTTTTTTTTGTTACTCTGTATTTTGTTCCTTTTGGTAAGGTGAAGTGTGTCCAAAGAGTTACTTGCAACAGTCTTTCATGATATGAGGATGCCCCAGTATTAACACTCTGATTATAGTTCTGAGTTCATTGATTTACTTATGCTGCATGACAAAACGTTTACTAATAACAATTCATTATAAAGTTATGTCCCTCTTTACATCACTTATCTTTCTCACTGAGGTTCATTCACTGGAATTTACTCACGCAATCTCAGTAGAGTGCAACGTAGATACAGAACCTAGGAGAGTCAACACCTGGAGGATTTTAGTCTTACACATACGTGTGATTTTAAATGAATATTCTCAGACCACAGGAAACTCTTCATCCCCCTGTTGTTTACCAGTAACAGTATATCACAGACCTTTCCAAATGTTTGTATATGTAATCAGATGTACATTTATATTTAAAAAAAAAAATGAGATGGACTTAAAGAGCACATCCTGATAAATACTTTCTCTCTTACCTGTACTATATTTCTATTAGACTAAAGTTATGTGATTTTTTTTTTACATTTTTTCAGATGACTAGCAATTTTGATAGTTTATAAGATAATGCAAAGAACTTTCTCTGACAAACTAACTGCAGTAACAGAAACCTTTCTTTTCAGTTACTCTTTTTCAAGAATGAAAGATTATTATACAAAAAAATTGTATACTACTTGATGGAACCAACTTTGTACATCTTGGCCATGTCACTGGTCATTGTGTGAAATAAAGATAATCTGGATAATGACTATTAGTCCAATGCTAAGAAACATGATCTTTGCTCATTAAAGAGCTAAAATGTTTATTGCTGTTTTGTCTTTCTTTTTTCTAAAAAAAAAAAAAAAAAATAGAAAAGAAAAGAAAAAGAAAAAAAGGAAAAGAAAAACAAAGAAACATGACTGTCTCAAAGAGTAATTTTTCTAGATTAGACCAGTCGGGTTTTTGAAGACACATAGGTAACTTTCATAGAAAACACAAACATGTATTTAAAGGCAAGTCTCATCTAAGATGAAACTCATAAAACTTTAATGTTATGAATTTAAAAGCTCCAGAAATTCATGAAGAAAAGAAAGATTAGCTTTGTGTTGTTAAATATCTCTTAGGTACAGATGTTGTAGAAATAAAGTGTCAATTGTTTTCAGTTAGAAACATAAGTTCCACTTCTGGTCATCAAGGAAAAGGTCTATTGAAAAGAAATGTGCAATATTTCATGGAATACAAATAACTAGGATCATAAAATGGGGGTGATTAAACTACCATAAAGTAATGAATAGAAAGTTGCCATGCTAAGAGAATGTAAACGTACTGAGCAAGATATTAAACTGACACTAAAAGATAAAAATCTATTTCAAGGAATTTATTTGATTATAATCCCCCTCCCAATTGTTATCTATCAATGAAATGTATATATTCCTCCATAATTAAAAAAAAAAAAAAATCTCTGTTAGAAGCAAAAGCCTTCAAAATCCAGAGTGATCTACATGCAGTTTTTGACTGAGGTGGTTATGCTTTTAAACTATGAACTGCCAGTGTACACAAATAGAAATAATTGTTTAGCATCTGAAGTATTGTTCAATTGGAACACTGTATTTTACTGTATTAATTAAACAAAACACTAGAACAGAATAGAAATGACAGCAAAATAAGATATGAATGAATACTTTTGTATGCATTGCTTCATTTGGCAAAACCAAACATTCTATTAAATATTGTGTTTTAACGATGGCCATATTTACAGCTATCTACCAATCTATTGCTCTGCATTTATCAATCTACCTATATATAGCATAACTGTCATCCTCTTTATATTAATTTAGGAAAATGATTTCGGAAAACAAAATATAGCCCTATTATTTTCTCTAAATTAGGGTAGAATAACTTTATGGAAGATAAAGCAGCCTAGGTTTAATAGCTGTTCACCAGTCACGTGATAAAGTCATTGTGAATGAGTGTTAGTTGCTACTTTTATAATTTCCAGTCTCTAGTTTTCTGAATGAAAAAGGATGTTCCACAATTACACAGAACATTAAGAACTGTTTTTAAAGCTGAAACATAATTTTTATATGCAAGAAAAATAAATACTGTTACTAAATTTTAGAAAGTATGTTGAAAATGTGTTTACTTAGATAATAATTTTCTTTGAAAAACAATGTAAGTAAAAAATTAAAATAATATTTTTGTCATTATTTGTTAATTCAGATTCTCCTGGCTCCGATTAAAAATTAGGCAAAGCTGCTTATAATTTATATAAAAATTACATTAAAGTGAACTTCATTTCATTGTTTTGCTGTTATATAAAATTTTTGCCAAATGTTTACCAACAGATTAATGTTTTAGAGTATGAGTGTAGAAAAATAAAAGTGACAGATTTCATAGTTTTAAATCTTTATTGAATATGTTGACTATGAACAGAATCTAATTGGCTACCACAGATATATAACAAAGTTTATTACTAACTTTATGCAAATTGGAAAATAATTTGCTAAAGCATTAAAAATATCCAATTTGGAGACATCTTGCTGGCAACTCAAAGCAGAAAATCTGAATATATATTATTTTATTCCTTATTTCAGATATAAAAGTTGACCAAAATGGTGCTTTATTTCAGACTTCCTGATCTGTACATGAAAACAGCAACAACATTTTTTAAAAATTATCAACTATATGTAGCACTAAAAAGGAAAACAGATGGCACTAATTTTCTTACAGAAGTGAAGTGCTGAAACTAAATTGTTATATCTATAACAACAGTTTTTTCACCTCCTGGCACACTCATCCTGACACATATATTAGTATCAAAAAAGGATACAAAGAATGTAAGAAATGTGTTCCAGCTTTAAAGACACTACCAAATAGAAGTTACTGGGATTCTTTTCTTTGGCGAGTTTCACTGAAATACTTTCAAAGGGTGAAATGATGAACTGAATTCTTAAGAAGCTATCAAATATGGCAGCCTTTTGATGTTAGTAATTTTGTTTTCTTCTGTGTTATTGGTTCAAAGTACTGGCCTTTTCCTTCATTTCCAGTAATTAGTTGGTATAGACTATCACTTTTTAATGTGAATGGGAATTAGATAATTTAATTATACTTGTGAAAACATGCTTCCAAACACATTCAATTAATGGGCACTTCCCTGCTGAGATTTTGTTATCATTCATTTAATTATCTTGTCAAGCTTTCCTGTTACGACAAATGTTTTAGCTTTCTGGTCAATAACCTAAGGGAATTTCTCCAGTAGCCTTATACCTCTCCTGCACTTGATCTGATAGCAACATACCCTTCAAATTGCCATCAGAAGTCTCTAAAGAAATTTCCTACTGATGTGAAACATTTGGTGACCAACTTGATTCTTTTTCATAAGCATTCTGATTTGACTTTATTCTGGCACTTTGCTGTATTTGTATGCAGGCCAGAAATCAATTCCATTTGATAAGGGTTGTGGAGAATACAGACAGGAATAACCACGTGCAGGGCTTAAGTGCCTTTTCCTCCTGAGATTTTATTTATAAAACTTAGCTTTTTTTAAAATTTTCAGATTCTGATAATTCAATTTAAAGAGTACAATGGGAAGACTATATTATAAATTACCAATAAGACAAGTTTATTTAGACATTTTTACATTTAATTTGATTTTTAAAATAATATCAGATGGATCCAAATGGCTTCTGGGAAAGATTGAGGTAAATTTTTGAAAGTGACAATTATATAGGCATCTGGCTTGATGGTACTTAAGAATAAAAATTTAAATCTCTAACAAACTTTAAAAATGTTCCAAATATTAAGTTTAATTTAAAAGAAGTCTGAAGCTATTAGAGATAATCATATAGTAGATAGGTATATATTTTTTTTCTAGTCAGCTATTACATACACCACATAGTATATATACCCTATATACTATATGGTTTATATAACATTTATAATGACCCTTTCAGACCCATATACTTACAAATGACATTGTATAACTACCTACATATATATTAATGTGACAGAATTTAGTCCTCTATGGAAAGTCAAACCAAATTGCTAGCAGTTTTGAGTTGAAATGAATGATAACAATTAAAGCTTTTAAGAAATTGGTAAGGGTACAGTAACAAAAACTCAGCAGATAAATGTAAAACAGAGGGACCATTTTTGAATGCCATTTTCAGAGTTGACATCTAAACTAGATGGTGTGTTTAAAAGGATTTTAGTGGTTTTGATTCATCCTTTCTCTGCATTCATATCATTTAGCAAATTAATGGGACATATGTCACGGTTTTTGTGAAAAAGACCATTGGGTTGTCATGATTCAGTTTGTGTTTGGACATCTATGGCTTTCGTTAAAAACATGTTTATTATCATGAATAAATATTACCATGTTTTCCAAGTTGTGTTGACTATTTTTAAACTCAGAAATAATTTCTTCTCTGTTTGCCTCACAGAAAAACATTACTAAGATAAGTGTTTTCTTACAAAAATCTTTGTATTGCTTACCCACTGCTGACAGTTCTCACTTGATGGAAACAATGATATTTTATTATCTTTTCACCTCTTGGTGAATGCAGGGCAAGAATTTAGAGAATAGATTTGGGAAGCTTGGACACAATTTTTCAGAAAAGAGAGAGGGAAAGTGGGAGAAGGAGAAAGAAGAGAATGGAAAAAAGGAGGAAGTGAGAGAGAAAAAAAGGAAGAAAAACTTCTCAATTTTGAATTAATGACTTTTTGCATCCAAACAGTGTTTTAAATAGAGATGTGTGACAGTTTTTTAAAAAGAAGAGAAAAGGAATTTAAATAAATCTCTTTAAATCATAGATCTATTATTCTTAGAGAACAAAATTAATAATATCTAGGAAGATATCATAAATTTAATTCTTGATCCAAGTCTTGATCAAATCGTGTCACTAGAAACAAATAAAAATAAAACCTATACTGAAATGTTTATGGTTCTATACTATCTAATCAGTAATGATCTTGGTAGGAAGACTGTGTGAAGTAAGATCATCTCTCATCTGTATATAGCCCAAGTTAACAATACAGCAAAGAGGACATCATAGAATTTCCTCATACATAGCCTAAAGAAAAATGTTTCCAATGGCTAAATAAAAGAATTAGCATTGCTTTACAAGTCTCTGTGGCCACATATGGCCATGGGCACCAAATAAATTAAACAGTTAAAAAACATATTCTAACAATTTCACTTTCCATAAACAGGTTTTGATGTTTTGTAAAATTTGATGTTGTTTGATATGATTACATTTTCACTAGTTTTATATTTCCTTATGGTTTGCAGGATGTTATTTCTGAGTTCAAAAAAAGTTTCAAATATACTCTGTGAATGTTCATGTGAAAGCAATATTTTCTAATGGAATGCTCTAATTTGAAGTACTGTCTCAATTTTGGAGAGTTGATTGACTATCTAGTTAAAACATTTCTATCTCCCCTGAAAATACTCAACTTTGTTCTCAGAGCTGCCTTCCTCTGCACTACAGGAGATCTTCTTACCAGTTACTGTGGCTCCTATTTCCATGGCCTATCCTATTACTAGTTATGGCCTCTTCTCCAAGGAGGTAAAGTTGTGCTGAAAGTCTTAAAAGGGGATCTAACTAACTGGTGCCTTGGGAATTGGCTTCCTCTGTTCCTCAGGCAGGTTAGAAACTAGTGAACATCAATCAAGCGGTCAAAGAAATTAGTCATTTCTTCTTTCAACAAATGGTGTCTACTATGTGTCAGGCAACATAATGGGTATTAAACACGTGGCCAATTCTATGACTTACTAACATACAACCATTGTCAAGTTTGGAATAGGTTCAAACATTTGGACTGATTTAGACCACTTTCTATGCTATACTCTGTAGCAAATCATTGTACAATTCCTCGTTTTGTCTATTTTACATGTCTCAAAACAGTAAACACCAATCAACATTTCTTGAGTTCAAAAAAAATGTTAGTTGAATTCTATTGAGCCAGTTCACCAGTTAAGGTATTTGGCAGCCATCTTTCCAAATAATAAATACAGCCCTATCTGAAGTCATGCTACAGTATGCCAATTCAAATTTCATGGAATATGAAATTTCCAGCATAAAT